CCTTTCGGGCGGCTTCTCAAGACTTACTATATTTAAGTAGTAAGTCACGCATATATTTGGTAAAAGAAGGAGTTTTGCCATGCCTTTGTGGCTGGTCCGCCGTACCAAAACAATCCGGTTACAAAGTGACCGCAAGAAATGCCAGCTGTAAAAACTTTTCCTTCGTCTAACGATGGAGAGGCGTTAATAGTAGCACAGTCTACTGTATCTAAAAACAGTTTCAAAGCAACTGGGTATTATCTCTGACTAGCTTGTCGAAAGATATTGGAAAATTTGTAAGCAAGCATGGTTACAGAAGAAGTTATCAGGTTGGAGTTAAAAAATACATATATTCATGGGGATGAATAGGGGATTGGTCTTCAGCTTCGTCTGAATACCTAAGCAACCGATGGACATGCAGGTGGTCATAAAAAAAAGTTGTACTGTAAAGTTACGATTATCTACTAAGCGTTCTCGTTTTGCACCAATCAGATTACGTTGGCTGAAGATATGGTTTGACCAAAAGTTTTATCATGGGGACGTCGCTTAGAGTCTCGCTGTAAAAGTATTAGGCCTTGCTCTGGTTCCCGACCCTAGGCTGGGTGCGCTGAACCACAAGTTGTCCATATTCCGCCTTCGTATTATGCTATAATGCGTTTACTGGGATGCCCCACAAAAATAATGTAATTTCTCGGTGGCTTTGATCGGTGATCTAGGATGATACCTTACTTTACGAATGGTCCTGCGCCTAGTCTCCGTCTAACCACCTGGATCTCCTCACTTAAGTTTATTGTGATTGCTCCATACTCATTGTAGGAACTGGCTGCCTACCTTCTTGCCCTTGAACCTCGGAATTCAAGAGAGAGGTGGCTGCAGAGGATTTATTTGGCATTTGTTACAGGAAGAATGGGGATTGGGATGCAGATTAGCCGAATAGAAGATATCATCTAGGGGGACTTCTCACCGTCTTCGCGCGCGTGATTCGCGTTCCCAATTGGTTCCCGCCTCTAACCTATAAAAGTCCACTTAAACAAAATTGTATATATTGCACTCGTTTTCCTACAAAATTTAAAAATGTTAAGAAAACGTTGTGTCTTAATTTCTCACACTCCTATAATCATTTAACACCTATCGATTTCAGCGTTTGGTCTGTCCGACATTTAATTTAGCGAACTCGTGCGGTACTTTTAAGCATGCCTGTTGGCGGTGGGGGTTCTCCCCCTCGCCCTGTGCCTTCAACGGATGCAAGTCGGAGTGTTTCCCCTTTCAGTCGAACAACCCTCTCTAACGAAGACTGGCTTGACCACTTGTTTTCAAATTTAAGGGAAAAAGTTGACCGTATCTTGAAGATATGGGATGACATTGGTCTCGACGAAAAGCCCTACAAAGAACGCAAATGCATACTAAAGCGACATCTGGACATGTTACTAGATAATATGATATCAGAAGAAGAAAGGTCCGTTGCTCATCTCCACTCAGTCGTGAATGAAATGGAGGTTTGTTTTCATAGTTGCCACAGGCTTTACGGCTTCTTAAGGTAAAGGTTAGCAAACTGAACGGTATTCTTGGCTTGAAGGACGAACAACTACAGCAGAATCTGCCTCTTATTTTACGCGAACGAAACTTGGCGGAGGCTTACAAGCACCTCTCAGTTATGGTATCAAACCGAATTGGCCGTTTCAGATCACTGGTAGCTGAACATCAACGCCTTAGTAAAGCACTGGGCAGACCTCTCAAGCATTATGCCTACGATTATGCCCCTTCACCGCAACTACTTGAGGCAATTGAACGTGACATTAATGAACTTCTCATAAAGCTGGTTGTTTACCTCTCTTCGTCATTCATGGAAACGTTTAGGCACAGCGTTATGCTGAGACGTGCAATCATAAGATACCCAACCAAGTCATTGAAAGCGATACTACTACCGGAGGAAATGACGACTGCACACTGTCCTCAAACACTTGTGATGCAAACTCAAACACAAGCACTTCCACTTTTCTTAGCTTAAAGAAGCGTGTTGCTGTGGTAAGACCTCTAAAGCTATGCGTAGCTTTGTGGTACCATTCGGAATCGTACTAAGTATTCTTCCCAACTCAGATAAGGGAGTGTACGCAGACCAACAGGTTGAAAGAGACGATCAGTTCTAATCTGTATGAGTTACATAAACTCTTTGACGAATGTTTGGTGGATCCTTGCATACGCGAACTTTACCCATTGGAGACAAATGAAAGTTCGTTGGACGAGGTTTACCTAGAGCACCTAGAAACTCAAATCAAGGACTGGCAGGACTATCGTACTCGCCACACTGACGCAATCGCAGCTTTCTATTCTTGGCGTGCTTCATTCGCTCGTCTACTTCAAGTTGAGGTAGGGCATTTCTTTTTTAAACGCTTGGTTTACCCATTGAAGTATTTCGGATTCGCCATTTCTGCCTAAGCTCACTATGACCCGTTGATGCAATTTTGTGCATGCGATTTCAGAGAGGCTTTGTTAAATTCACTTTAGTGAACTCATCTCAATGTTAGCGATAGTCCTGCGAGGAACTCTAAATGCTTCTAATGGTTGATTATTGCTATGGTTTGTTTTTAGAAATAAACTGGAAATTATGCTGTTAGGAGGACCTTGTAACTTTAACATTGGTATTTCGCGTAGCCCTTATGTGTTTAGCTCCTTTTCGGTTATTTTGGAGCCATTCGTGAAAACTCCCTATTTCACTAGTAGACAATCAGATGAGAGTTGAAGTACGTGAGTGAGATAGCTAAGCATGGACCAGAAGGCGAATTTAGTTCGGTTTTCTGCTTGATATTTTGTGCTTAACATTCATTTACAGGAGCTGTTGTACGAATCAAAACATCCTGAGACACGAAGCAAGGATCTTTTCAAATTGGAAAGGGAGGCCATCTCAATCAGGGAGCGGATTCTTCCTCAGCTAGAAAAGCTCTTGTTTTCGGCGGCGCGCAAAAGTAGGAACTTCAAGATTTTCGGTCTGCCTGCCAAAGTTTACATCGATGAGGTTAGAAGGGAGGCTGATATAGCTCCACCAGGAACGCAACGACTCAGTTCAGAAAAACAGGCTCAGTACGTCAGTTTTGGTGGTCTTATTTCACTAGTCGACTAGGCTTCTGGGGGATTTATGCAGTGAATTGTGCTTTATTTAGGCTTCTTTCGAAATCTGCACTCCTGCGTACCTCTAACACTACTAATGCTCGAAGCAATTTGCGAAAATCCCTTTTAAGGCTCAATCAAGTAAGCTACTTTGTCGAAAGTAATCACTTCGGTTGCTCCATTTCGCCAAAACGCTTTTAAACCAACAAATTATTCAATTTAGCCACCACAATCGATTGTCGTCACAGCTGGGGCTCCTTCGGACGGTTCAAGTTTGAGAGCTAATTCTTATTCTGAATTCAACAATCCCCACCCTGACAATAACCAATCAGCCTCTGCTGTTTCCAATTCCGCCAAGCTTAGTGAAAAAAGGCCTGGTGGTTTGAAGGTTGGTCACACCTTCATTCGGTATCAATATATTCTTTGGCATTCTGATGGCTAAGAGTTCTACAGAACCTGGTTTCCGATAGATGGGACAATTTTCTGTTTGAGAAAATATTTTTGAACAATAATAATGAGACCTTTTTCAATAGGCTGAGTGGCCCGGATTGAGGGACGAGGCTGGCAGTACCACCTTTCCAACCGCTTCATCATCTTCAAAGATTGTTACACCAAGTCGACTTCGTCCACCGCGTATTATGGTGGGATCAGCCTCTAAAACTCGGAGTCCCTTTGTTCCTTATGGAGGGATGCAGCAGACATTCCGGCGGCCTCCCCGGCTACCTGCGGATTCATCACACCCGATATCAGTGCTGGATTTTTTCAGTCGTGGCGGCGGGAAACTAGCCCAAGTTTCAAGAAAACTAGAGTTTCCATGTTTTGGAACTTTGTCGATCAAAAACGCGGTATCACGGGTTTGTCAGTCCCTGTGAATTGAGTATTAATGTTCCGCTATTCGCGAACGTGTTTTTCATCAAATTTATTCTGCACCACAGTCAACAAAAGTTCGTCTTATTCTATTGCTAACATCAGTCCTCCGAAACAGTACATGCTTCAATGCCAGAGTACCTTGCTAGATATGAATTTATAAGAATGACTAGCCGATCCTTTTATCGTGAATTCAGTTAACGTTTTCACTATCAAAGAAATGTGATACTTGTCTGCCCTTTTATTCATCATGAGTCTAATTTGTCTTAATTTTACTTCTTTCACTACAGGTTTGTGCACAGTCAAGCTTGGGCGATCTGAATCCTACTTCTTCTAGTCGTTCAGCTAATCACGAAGACAGCAATCCGAGCACACACCAATCCGCATCCCCTACCTCCGTTAAAAGTGACCCCGTCTTCGCAACACCAATTGGTCGGGCCCCTGTGGCTCGTAAGGTTAGGATCCCATCTTTAGATGCTTGAATCGTTTCAAATAACGCTTCTCCTTTCACCAATTCTACCAGAAGGGTACAACCACTCTTCATCTGTCGGCCTCTTGCGGTTCTCTGAATCGACTAGCACCACTGTTTGAAGTGCCATCTCGTCCGGTCTCAGTGATGGACCTTTTCGGACCTCGATGCAATAATGCCATTCCTACCCTTGCGGCTAAAAAGACTAGTGGGAATAAAATAACTCCAGGCCCCAAGGGGGCGATGTTTTCAGGATGGAAAGCAAAGGTAAGCTTCAGCTGATTATCCGTTTTGACCTATACTTGGAGTTTGTCTTGCATATACAACATTTTTACTGCTCCGCTCTCAGATTGAACTCTACTCCCCTTCTTTAGATGGACAGGGAGACGACTTTACAAGATGGATTAAGCGACCGCCTTATAACTCCAGGGTTTTCCTCTTCCACTTCCCTCCTTGCGGGCAATCGATCAGCATCCCCCATTTCCGCTAAAAGCGAAGAGATCTTCACTACACCCGTTTGTCGAGCTCCTATCCCAAGCATTGTGAGTACCGTTCTACTTTCGAGAACTGGCGAATGAGTGCAAGATATTGTTTAATACAACTATCGCATCGTGGCTACAGCAAAAGAATGGTCTTCATACTGCTCCCTTGGTCTCAACGACTACGACATCAAGTCGACTGCGTACAACGCGTGTTGTGGCAAGTTCTGCAGTCATAACTCCAATCATGTCGACCCCTCGCAGTCGGCTGGATCAAATGACATCACGGGCTCTGCCAGCTTCTGAAGAGTCGTCGCGTTCACTCTCAGTGGTTGAATTTTTCCGCCGTGGTGGTAAGCATGATGTGATCAGTGGTACATCTTCTAACAAGTGGAGAACCAGGGCGTTAAGAAATCCGATTACCAGTAAAAGGTATGTTGCCTTGTGTACTTAAAACTCTTCTCCCTTTCTCTCAGTTCTTTGTTTTGATATGATCTGTGTCAGCTTCCAGCTTAAAGGTGCTCGCTTGTTTTCTTTTTGGATGGGTAGCTGTGGAAAAGGACCTTCTTTGTTCCTCCTTTGTAGACCATGAAAAGCATCCTGCCACAACTTTACGAAGCCGGCCAACAGATGAACACGAGCCTTCAGGAGGATATCATTTTTTAGCGTCAATTTTACTGATCATTTCATTTAGTCCCATCATTTGAAACTTTGATTTTGTGATAATATATCTTCTTTTATTGATGAATTTCCTGTTAAAATATCACTTCCCATCAATGGGCTTGAGGAAGGATGTAGGCCTTTCTCTCAACCCAATTACTGTTTATGTGAAATAAATGCAATGGTAGTTTCGCTTTGACGACTTTAAGGTCAGACGCCCTCGTAACTTATTTTTGCTATGATTTGGAAGATGTTGTCAAATGCAGCATGATGATGAGTTAAATGCTCAATCGGGTGTGCTACCCAGAATTAGAAGCAGATGTAAAGACCTCAAAACGATCCGTGGCGTTGCCTCTCCAGCTCGGCGGGGCTTCGTTTCTCCCTCCCCCATTTTTGGGTTTCAATGTCCATTAACGATTAGGTACTAGAATGCAGAACATCTGCAGCAGTTTGCTAGGCGTGAAAAACGAATTGACAACAAGGCGCTTCACATAATTCTTCTGAGAGCTCTTGATTAACGCACCAAACTTCAAAATACAAATTCCCTATAACAATGATGTTTGAATAGCGGTTCTTGTTTGACTGTGGGAGACAATGGGAGGGCAGCGCTTACAAGCTGTGGAACACGGCAGCATCAACCCACTGGCAGCCTTCGAGCATATTACGTGAAGACTGGAAGTGGAACTCCAGCGGCCGGGGATGGGCTCGATTAACGCGCTCCTGCTTCTTCTTTCCTTTCACTGGTGGGGGTTTTGGCACTAGTTCAAGGTGAAGAGAGTACGCATGAAGCATGAGACGCGGTAGACTGTGGTCTTTTGCGACTTCCACCAATTCTTTATCACCATAGAGACGGCCGTAGATGAGATCACCAGCGATTGGGTGCCCTCGTAGACCCAGGGCGCAGTGTAGACGTAATTGGTGCCGGCGACCAGAGTGCGGTTCAAGAAGGAGTAGACTAGCTGGCGAGCCTTCGAGGAAGCCGTGTTTTAGTACTGTTATTTTGGTCTGTGCAGATCGAGGGCGCTAATGAAGTAAGTGACGAACGCTAACATTTCCGCATGCTTTAATAAAAGCTAAATTGCGCTTTGGCATTATGTCACACATTCCCTAGGTTTCCAATTCTTCAAGTATAGTTCAATAGTTGGGTCAAATGCTTTCGGTAGTGCAAAAGCGGAAATGGTATAGGGATATGCTTACTTTACTTTTTGAAACAGGTCATGCGCCAACAGTTAAATACCATACCAAGGCGTCGTAGAGACATTTGCTATAAGTGATTGGATTTACAATGTTTCCAAACACAAGTAATTCCTCGTCATAATCTCACTGACGCCGTAAGTAAATGCACACACGAAGAGCAACTTCTACAGGATCTGTACTGCTTGTCTTTCAAAACCACCTCTTAAATGTCCATCTTTAAGATGGACATCAATTAAAGACGCGGCACTTATAGCTGTTTTCGATCAACCAAGGACTACATCCTTCCCAGCTTTGCGATTACTTAGAATTCTTGAAAAAAATAGATGATAGTCGAAGCAGAAGAGCAGGGGAGGCATGAACAGCAGTGAACGTGAACAACCTAACCATATACAATAAAGACTAATTTAAGCAATTTTTCGGAGATCTTACCTGGCAGTTCGATGCACAACCCGGAGCCATGATCTTCTGACACCGACCCTCTGGCCATGAAAAGTGCAGATCTCCTATTGCAAAATCCACTAGGTATTTCATATCTCCTATTTTCGTGCACACACCAACACACCACGAGGGATCAATGTTGAGGGATGAGAGGTAGTCGGACTTGGGCAGTCGAGCCACATCTAGGCATGTAGAATCCTTAACGTGCCCCCAGACAACCGCCAGGTAAAGCTTTGTGGTGTTCCTATTTTGAAAAGCCTTTGCCGCCTAAAAAGCGGTGACTGTGACGAATAAATCGGCTTCATTGCAGCGATCGAGTGTATCAAACTCACTAGGCCAGCCATTTTTGGCGAATAGGCGATGCAAATGAGACCGCTAGTGGAAGCATCAAGACGATGGATGAATCTGTACATATGCTCCAATGTAAAGTTTGCGAGTCTAGGGAGTGCAAAAAATACCTAAAAACGGATGAAAGTTGACTCATCTCGCGCACCTGCATTTGGAGGGTTACATAATTCCTCCAAGGGTGTGTACTGTTTATGAGTAGTTCGTGTGACTTGTCCACAACAAGAAGGCCGTCCAAACAGTGAACGATTCGCAGATCGGTAATGGGAATGAATGCACCTCTTTTCCCCCGAATATAATCGATAAACTGCTGAACGTTCCACATAAAAAATACCCACGCGCGGAGTAGAATAACGCAAATACTATTCATTGATTCCGGATCTACAATTGAAAGTGTGTGCAGGTACGCAAGCACTAATCTTAGTTATGTAGCTGAAATCACAGCTACTGCTACATTAGCAAGAAATATAAGCAAAACCATCAGAAGTTAAGATGAGTCAGGTATCTAACTCAAAGAGGATACGCAAGGCTAACACACCAGGCCAAAGCGCTCAACTATTGGTTGCCTACAGATTGACCATCGCGCATTAATCGAATGAGATAAAACAATCCTTTAACACAACTCCCAATTCAAAAACTACAGTGCAACTACTTATGCTTTGTAAACATGCATCAGCATTACGCAGTAAGATCAAATAAGGTATAGCACAGTGGCTCAAGAACTATGAAGCCTTTAGCCAGTGTGTTGATTTTCGCTATAATCGGACCCAATTTATTGCATTTTACGGAATATCCGCTCACTATAATTCTGCAAGTTACGATTGGTTTCATCTAGTAATAGCTGTCTCTCTGAATTTGCAGCTTGATTTATGTTTTAAACTAGCACGTTGGATGATCTGCCATCGAAGTAATCACCTGTGAAGTGTTTACTACTGCCGTTAACATTTTTGATGCCATTATAATAATGTACCAAGCGTTTTCCTCTGTGAGGTCCCAAGGGCTAGCCTACGCGGCAAAATGCAAGATAAATACCACACGGATAGCTGAGTAAACATATTGTCATAGTTACTGTAACGAGTCACCCACGAGCCAACCGCGCAGGCTGAGGGATAACATAAGACTGAGGAACGCTACTTGGTCTCCTCGGCAGCTTCAACTGGATCTGGAGTTACGTTCGATCTGACAAACAGATTCAGGGCCACATACACCTGTTGACCGTCGACTGCTTCCAGGAATAGACGGTGAACCTCTGGTCTAAGACATATATGTTACAAGGAAAACGGGATGAGCCACTGGTCCGTAGGTAAGGAGAACCGTAGTGTCATTTCCGACACCTAAACACGGATTTTGTATAGGAAACTTCGATACGGAACTTTTCCAGATAGTTCACGGCGGTACCGCTTCAGTTGTTAATATCTTGTTTGTGGAACACGGGAATAAGGTGAAACCAACTGCAGACGTCCGTCTAAATCCTTTCATTGTGAAGGATTCAGGGATTCTGTGACATTAAGATAAATGCGCCTCCTTTATTTCTCGATCCTTTTCGCCTGTGTCTTCATCTATTATACTTCGATAGAGTCAGGCTTCCTTCTACTTATGTATAGATCATGATTATCGGTGCACAACACCAAGATTCGCTTATTAAAAATAGAATTCCTCCGCAGCCTTGTCTGTCGTTTGGATTATAAACTTCTTGACATGTAAAGAGAGGTTTCGAATTTCCGGCCAAGGGAATCTGATTTTGGGGTCCAACAGATTATCAAACTCATAGATACTCAAACCCAGAGCATCAACACCAAAAACAAGCGACATACATCCCCACATGCTGTGCGATTCGTAGGCACTGAACCCTTGCATCGTCTGATCGAACCGTTGCTCGTCGGTTTGGTCTTACTATTCTTTTCTGGAAATCGGTCGATTAATTGGCAAAGTTTAGCAACACAAGCGTAGAATGTCAGCAAGACAGCGATGTCTGTTGGGCAATGGATTTTCCCGCACACCATGTCGCTTTTAACAAACGACCACCGAAGAACAAGCTGCAGAGAGACCCCACCTCGGCTAAAAGTCGTTTTAAAAATGTCGGGTTCGCTTTCCGCTGCCACCAGTGTAGCGTCCCGTGACTTTCTAGTCCGTATAAGAAGTCAGTAAGCGCAGTTGGATACATGTATTCTGAAGACGATAGGACACATGAGCCTGAGCTCACGTGTACAAGGTCCAGGCAAATTCTAAAGTGACCGTCAAACTTCATGGAGTCACATATACAAAGTATTACAGTCACTTAATCCCAATCCTTAGTACCTAAAATTTGTTAATGCCAATAAATAGTGCAGCACTTTAAGGGTCCCCAAAAATTAAACATGGCCTAATACTTAAAAAAATGAGTGCTTATCTCTGATATTATGATACCGAACCCAACCTTCCCGAAGTAATGTGATCAGTCTGATTCCACACCAAACAATGACATCCAAACAATGCGTTACAGACGTATATTTTTCGGCTAACTTTCATTTCTGAACAAAAATTTGACTTAATATTTTATGTTGCTAATACTTAGATTTTTTACTACTTCAGTTCCCTTTCTTGAGGCAGACGGTAGATCCGCTAATGCTGAAGCGATAAATATGGTTCATGCAATTAATCGAGAAAGGTGCATTGTGTGGTGAAAATTATTGAAGATATTGCAGAATTCCAATCCCCATGTAGCTACACTCAGATTTGAGGGTTAAGATGTGGTACCAATTCTATCATTGAAGTTTGCCATTAAAGGCTTCTCCTTACAGTAAGCAGCCACAAGCTGGTTTCAACGATGTAGTAGACTCTGTCAAAACTTGTTTGCGATCCCGAAATTCTCATTTGATCACAGAACTTGCTAATGAGGCTTTCTGAGGCAAAATGCCCAGCTTTTATTTTTTTTCTGCGGCAGGCGCTACAGGATCTTGTCTCGATTTCGATTTAATAACGCCCTAATAACCAAAAGAAACGAGCCCAGTAAGGGTGTGAACTGACTCTTGTGACTTTCCTTAAAAGTATCACCTACTTGCTTATGTCACTTAATGCAAAGGATAAATCTTAGTGAAGGCCATTTTTATTGTCAAGGTAAATTGGCTTAACTTGCGGAAGGAATTTGGAGAACAATAATCCAGTGATGCACTAGGCTTCTAGAACTGCCGAAACAGTGGGTGTCGAGTGTATTTTAAGCGAATAATTAATTTAACGCATTCTTAGGAAACAATTCTGCCAGCTTTGCAGCTTTGCCGTATTTTATTGTTTTGAAATTAGTTTAAGCTCGCATTTCTAATAATTCTAAGAGTTACGAATTTTCAGTGTAAATTGGCTATGTTCTGCTGAACAGTGACAAGAGTGCCGTCCATTTTAATAATTTATATTTTGATGTAAAACTACCAGCTTATTCCTCACCACTTTCCGATTTGCAGACATAAACCACCGCTCCCATGATCCCTTAACTCGCACAAAAAGCATTTTTATGTCACATCTGCGTCCTTAAAGTGACTACATCGGCTAAGGAGGCCTGCCTGAAAGAGGTAACGACTGCACGAGCTGTAGCAATCAAAGGTGGCCTTCCCTTGTGCATAGCATCACTGCAATAAGTGAGAGTCTTTGCGACCACCTCAAAGAGGATAAAGTACTGGCCTTTCTGACTTGCCACACAATACGCAGTTACTTTGGTGTCGTCTGACCGCCCCAAATAGAGCTTCGGCACCCCTTGAACAGTCACATATCGACACTAAAAATGGGGATTGATGTGCCACACATATTCTCATGCGCCTCCACCTGGTTAGTAGTTTAGCTCACTGTGAAGTTTTACGACATGTGGAAGAGAAACAAGTGTTTGTCGGCGACTGCACGCATTATTTGGCTACGCTTATAGCAGCTCTGTTCTGCTGTCTTACTAATCGGCAAAAAACCAAGTGGGGATTTTATTAAGCATGCAATTATTTAGAAGAAGCAAATCATGTTGAGTTATGAGTAACATCCGGAAGGACTGGATTTCGTAAAGGAAAGATCCACTTTTAGTGAGCTTTTCCTTTTCCTCTCTTCTTCACTTTTAACGCAGATAGAAGAGGTTTTCTTTTTACCCTCCAAATGCTTTAATGGTTGAAGTTGCGTCACAGTTGAATTTGAGCAAAAGGAGCCTTTGCATTAATCGCCACACGAGAACTGCTTGCAAGTACTGTTGAGTGAACTCGAAAATCGTATTAACTTCTCAAATTGTAAGCTATTTAGACGAAATCGTTAAAAGTACCGCCAAATATTTAAATTTTAAAATGCCTTTTAAATCGAAGACCAAAGATTGCACAGCAAATATGTAATCCATTTAAGGGTATGGAGCTTGAGGCACCCTGAGATTTTTCACATTTTGTTACATAGCTTTAAAGACAAAGATAGTTGTTTGGTTGCAGCAATCCACTGCAACCTGCATCCATTTCATTGCATCTTTACTAGTGTGTGACAAACGAGTTTGCAAATAAATTGTCACAGCGCCATGCTACCGTCTCTATTAGTTGTACCTTCCAACTTGAGCAGTGCCTGTATTAATTATAAACTTTAGACTCCACTCCCACTTATGTAAAATATCTTCCTGCAACTTGAGAATTCTGACCCAATGAGCCGGCGCAAAGTGTCTGTCCATTGGTTTGCTAAAGCGGCCGGAGAGCTGGAAGGCCCAGTGTGGGTTTTGAGAACTTTTGCAGTTGAAATGGGGCAGCCTGCTTCAACAAAATATTGGCCATCGTGGTCCTGGTGGGACATCAGCATGCGTGCTAGCTGATGCTGCCGATGGCATGCTTCAATTTCAACCGATTTGTGTGCGGTATGAAACTGCGTTACAAAAAAAATGGAGATAGTGGTCAGTGATGCGATTAATCGCAAATGAAATTATTTTGCATACCGGTTAGTCATCGGTTGAAATGGTGTTGACTTCTTTTCTTTCCATCAAGTGGTAAAAGGACATTGGTCGTGCAGACTTGAGGAGGAAGTTTCGTTACAAGGTAAGTCCATTCATGATCTTTTATAATGGCTTTTTAGATGTCTTTTGAAATTTTGGTGCTATAAAATTGTATCTAACTCCAAAATGATGGTACAGAGGGGTTAATTTCAGTTTAAGGGATACACCTATGGAGAGGTCTATTTAACCATTACAGTGAGAACCAAAATTTGAGACCATAAAACGAATCCACTGCCTACCGTTCGTTTGCATTTTGTAAGTTATTTTTTTCCTCCGAAACCTGTCTTATGATTGCCGCTATTTAAAGCATTCTCAAGAAGAATTCTACTTCGGAAAGAAACTAACCGCCCTTGTCAACATGTTCATCCCCCGCTTCTTCCATCGGCACAAAATCAGCTAAACTA